AAGAAGAGGAAGATCAGCAGAAATGCAGTAGCATACAACAACAGCAACACCCCGCAACAAGTAACAACCAGCAACGAGAAACCAGTGACAGATTTTAAAATCAAGCAAAAACAATCCAACAATAACCAGTGAAGTAGTAGCAAATAACCAACCAAACTCAAGGAACAAACCAAATGAAAATCCAGAAACACCAGCAACAATCAACAGGCAGAAACAAAGTGAACCTTTTTTAGATTGAAAGACCAGTTAATGTTTAACCCTTAAATTCTGACTCCGTATATCCCATGTATTCAGAGTGTATATCGGGTGTATACTACTCTCTCTTTAGATTTCCAGAATATTTTTTCTGTTCCGAAAAATCCTCAAATCTCTCTTAATGTTCAGAAAATTCCTCTATTCTCTCCCGAATCTCCTCTTCCAATCCCTCTTAATATTCAGAAAATTCCTTCCTTAACTTGTGTCCAGCCCCCCTCCTTTATAGCCAAACTTTGAAGCACTTAAATTAAATCTCACCATCTTCTACCCATCCCCCTTTTGAATCCCACTACCTAATGTTTTGTCCCTCACTATATTAAACAATGTATTAATTCCCACTAACACATATCTTTTCCTTATTTAATTCCCTTATTGCCCCACAACCGTATGCTTTGTCCCCCACTATATTAAACAATGTATTAATTCTCCACCATTATGTCTTGTCCCCCACTACGTATTATTTTATGTATTATTTTAATATATTAGCGCTTAGTGGACAGAACACTCAAAATAAATAATTGTTCAAATTTTCAATTACAAAAATACCCCTCTGAAATTACTGAAATTACCATTCTACCCCTGAAAATACTGCAATTTACCATTCTACCCACATCAGCTATAATAAATTCACCTAATCAATTAACCAAAATACAACAGCTATAACCAATTCCTAATCAAATTTCATCAACAAATTTAAACTAGAAACTCAGATTATGTCAAATATTATCAAAACAAAGACTAAGGATTCAGGGAACCAAACCATATGATGAACAATAAAGAAACAACTGAAATCATTTTGACTGAACAATATTTTTAACAACAAACATACTTTCCGATTCAATAACAGTAACAAATTGAACATAACAAACAAGTAGATTCAAATCACTAAACTCAATAATCAATTGAACTTCAAATTAAATCTAACAACATTACAACCAAGATAAAGGATTCAAGTGATTAAACTAACACACTTCTATATTAAAACTAAACAAGAACAAATGAATAAAAACAAACTGAAGAAATAATCAAGAAATGATAAACAACGAACAAAAAAAGAATCAAACATATACTGATTTCAGATCCGAGAATATCAAACAAAATACGGACAGAAATGAAACTTAAACCAACTAACCGGAAATGACAGCAACGGAACAGAAACTCGGACAACAACCTCGACGTACCGGATCTCGACTCAATGAAAACCCACCTTCTCTTTTAACCTCGATGAACTCAGAACGACAAACGACGACCTCGACGGATTGAACCTGAAGAATGACGAGACAGCAACTATGGTTGTTTGGATGTGAGGCTGTGTGTGTGTGTTAAGCAGCTGTTTGACGACTAGTGGTCGGTTGGGATGAGGAGATGAAGCAGCAGCAATGGCTACTGGACATGGAGCTGATGGTGGTCGTGGGACTGTTTGGTCGACGGGAGGGAGGTGTCGTACTGGTTTTTCCGGCGACTGGAGGGGCCGTTCATGGATGAAGCTGGACGTTGGGTGGTCGTTAATGGTTGAGCTGGGGATGAAGAAGAAGAAGAAGGAGCATCCAACGGGAGTTGGTCGTCGATGGCTGTTCGTGGTTGGTCGACGAAGTTGCTACTGGTGGACGACCTCGNTTAAAATTCTAAATTAAGTTATAAACTAAATTTACTTATCAAAAATACTAATTAATTCCTAACAACAATTATCATACATAATTAAACACCAATTAAAACAAAATTGCACAATTTGACATTGAATGCTAAAAATGCAAACGATGCATATTTTTGTAATTTTCATTCTTGTAAAACAAACTTAATTACTTCTAATTGTAAACTTAAATCCTAAATGCAAATGCGATATATTTTTGTATTTTATTAATTTAACAAATAAACATGCATGGAAAAATACAAATAATTTATCAAAAATGCCACGAAAATTCTCAAAATTGCACACAAAGGAAAATTGTTTTATTTTGAATTTTTTGGGAGTAATTCTCACATAGGGCAAAAATCACGTGCTTACAGGCATGAGGTCATAACTTGTAAAATTCATATCTGGATAGTACTCCCCTGTGGAATTTATGAATGTTAATACAAATTCAATACAACAAAAAATAAACATCGTAACACAAAAGAAAATTGAAGTTTACCAGTCGTCTTGTGGATTATGTAAAGTAGGAGAGAAATTATCTCCTCGCTCCTTGTTCGCCCGTGGAGATAAGTTCAGATCCGGCCAAACTCTTTCAGCCGGAACCTGTTGGGATACAACTGCTCCAGTATAACCACCCGATGATTGAGGGTTATCACTGATCTGCGCAATATCATTATTGCGAATGTCTTCATGCTTCACGTACATTTCCAACATTTTTATCAAATTAAGTTTTCGGTATTCATTTGGAGTCCCCAAAAAATCTCTTAGAGTTTCATCATCCTCGATGTTAAACTCAGCGTAACAAGCATCCCCTTGCGGAGTTATAGAATACGAATATCATCCGGTAATTTTAAGATTCACCGAACGCTTGCTCAGCCTCATTTTATTGCATAACAACGCTACCAGTCTATCATACTCCATTGTAAGTGGCAACTTAACATGACTCTATGGAGATAAACTATAGCCACCACAACCTCACCCCCTCCCCCCCAATATAATGAAACCCTTACTTTTCGCTCTTCAAACATTATGAAGAAAGCTTGAGAATTTAATAACAGGAAAAATGTATCACGAAGTTGGAGTATTTCTAAATGATTTTTCTCAAAACCCTTAACGCCTTTAAATAAGGCAATGCCCAATCCGGGGGTTCAAATTTTTGCAAGTAATACGCGGTTTAATAGGGCGTTTTACATATTTAAATTATTGTTATGTCAGTTAAGCGCAGAAGAATGGGAGAAATTAAAAAATAGACAGATTTACAAGTGGTCATTCAAAAATAGCCATAGGTTCAAAAGTAATCGAAATTTAGCCACTTTTCATGTAAAGATAAATCTGAACGAAAACACTGTTCAAAATCCGAAAAAATACTCCAGCATAATATACTGGAGTTCCAGTATAATATACCGATCTAGTATAATATACTGGAGTTTGTATAATACGCGATTTAAAAGGGTGTTTTACATATTTAAATTATTGTTCTGTCAGTTAAGCGCAGAAGAATGGGAGAAATTCAAAAATAGCCAGATTTGCAAGTGGTCATTCAAAAATAGCCACAATTTCAAAAGTAATCGAAATTTAGCCACTTTTCATGTAAAGATAAATCTGAACGAAAACACTGTTCAAAATCCGAAAAAATACTCCAGTATAATATACTGGAGTTCCAGCATGAAAAATAGCCACTATTTTGTTGTAATAGAGACCGGTCCAGCATAATATGCTGGAAGTTCATACACAAGTGCACCAAATTCCAGTATATTATGCTGGATCGGTCTCTGTTACAACAAAATAGTGGTTGTTTTTCATTGGCTTGACAAACACTGGCTATTTTTGAATGACCAGTCCGAAAACTGGCTAGACCGTGCTATTTTAACCAGAAAAATTATTGGTGGGCTCACAAAATATGTAAAACACGGTTAATTAAAGCATTTCATATAAAATACAGTAATAAGCTGCATTTTATTTAGTTGTCATATCACCTAAAGGTAAAACGTTGTATCAAAAAGCATTTTAATATAAAATGTAGCAATTACCTTAACGTCCCAAACGATCGTGAGAAAATAGCCTTCATTCAAAGTTATAACGCATGCAGGTCAGAATTTTGGGAAGCGCCAGAATTTTATTATGGTGATTGCCAAGATGTTGCCACTAACATAAAGATCACCATAACTATATGTTAGGAAAACTCTAGCGCTTTCAAAAATTCTGATCAGCATGTTTCGAAAATCCGGCCAGAAGCTATTTTTTCGAGACTTTTCTTAGCAGGGTCAAAATTTAAATCACTTTGCTCCCGTTTGACCATAGATTTTGATTTATTTAAAAAAAATATTAAAGATATTGTTTGTTAATGAAATATGATTATGTTTTGGAAAAATAAAATTAAAAAATTTTCAAGTTCCTAAGGAGAAAATTTTTCTTCCACTCACAAAACATTAACTTTTATCAAATGAAATGTATGTCCAAACACAATTTTAATTTTCAAAAATTATTTTTCAACACAATATTAAAAATTCTTTTTCAAGTTTCAATCAAATATATGTCCAAACACTAGCTTGCTTATGTGTTTTCAAATTGTCTAATAGAGGCTAGTGGTCTGACAATCAATTAGTCTATCGTTACGATTTTATAGAGTTTAATCCCGAAAAAAAAGAGCAAGATATATATTTACCGTTGATTATAGAGGAGATTTTTTTCTTCCTATACCATATGTGAAACTTTATTACCAAATATGTGCATAGTATCTAAATTACCCGCCTAGTCCACATTTTTCCTACAATTTCTGTACCATTCGTTTATTAGGAATTAATTGGGCAGAATCTTCTCCTAATAACGCGCGAAAAATCAGGAAAGAATCTTGGGATTGATTGATTCTACATTAAATTCAAGTTTTAAAACGGAAAGGAGATTTCGCAACAATAGCAGAACACATCTTCGAGATTCAACAAACTGAATTCAAATTGTAGAGTATTCTGTTCTTCGTTGTTTTTAGAAATCAAATTGGCGATCGTATATCTGTTCTTCATCTTTTTCTCTCTCAATCTAGAAATCCAAAAAAGCGAAAAAATTTAGAATAATACATCAGCAACAACACACAATCATGTCCAAAATCGCAATCATGCTACAATTGAATGGGAATTGGGATAACTATGGCAAATTTAGAGATTTTGAAGTTAATGTCATTGTGGTAGATGAGAATGCAAGCTATAGTATTCTGATTTCTACAATTGCAGAACAACTATCGATTGATACTTCAGAAAAAATTATAGAAATCAAATACATGGTGAACGACAATTGTCCCCCAATGGAGATTAGGAATGATATGGGGGTTCATGTGTATATGGAGACCAAAAAGGAGAATAAAAACTTAGGTTCATATCCGTTATGTATAAGTGTACGAGATTTCAATATAGAATTGACAATCACCAACGGTAACACAAGTGCAGGTTTGTATAGTTCGAAACTGCATAGAATTATGGTTTTACAGTATTATCTACAAAATTACTACATTTACCTACAATTAAACTACAAATCAGTTTAATGAAAGAATAAAGCAATGTTGTTTTCAAAATTATCTACAAAGTTACTACATTTATACGACAAAATAAACTACAATATATGATTAGAAATTGTTGATTTCAAAATGTTGTCTTCAAATAAAACTACAATCTATGTTTAGAACAAAATCTAGTCAAATAAAATACAAATCAGTTTAATTATGTACGAAGCAGTATTGTTTTCACAAATTTCTACAAATTGCAACAGTTATAGTACAATTTAACTACAATGCCTACCATCCTAAAATGGATGACTACAAAATTTTTACAATATCTACAAATTATCTACAAAAATTCTACAAAATTATAATGACACTGTTTATCTTTATTTTGATGCAGGTTCGTCTGGATCCCTACAGTTACTTGATATGCCATCCTCTCCAGCTATAGAGGAATATCAAAGTGAAATAATAACAGAATCTACACAAACTGCTATTGAAGAAGGACAAGTGTATCAGGACAAGCAAACTGTAGCTGCTGCAATGAAACACTTTTCTGTTATGCACAAGTTCCAGTTCAGAGTTAAAAGATCTAGTCATAGAAGGTATGGAGATATTTGTGGTGAAAAGATCATTAAAATAGCAGTGTTTTACTCAAGATATGTGTTTTTTAAACATTGTAGATAAATTGTAGTTACATTATAGTTAAATTGTAGTTTATGTTACTTTATGTTAAAACAGTCCTTTTGTTGCATCTACATTTATAATCTGTATTAAATATTATATTTTTTTTGTAGCTACTGGCTTGTATGCGTTGGTGAAAACTGTAAATGGCACTTCAAGGCAATGTCAATTAATGATTCCACAATGTTCAAGATAAGGAGTTTCAACCGACAACACACATGCTCCGTAATGGATGAAATATTCATACAGCGCAAATGTACTGCAGCTGTAGTTGGTAGCATGGTCATTCCAAAGTATTGTGATCCTAAGACTATTTACACACCAAAGGACATACAAATTGACATGTTATCCGAACACAGAGTGAACCTAAGCTACATGCAAGCATGGAGAGCAAAGGAAAAGGTTTTACAGTTTTTGAGAGGGAATCCGACTGACTCCTACAACAAATTACCCAAATATTTTTATATTCTTGAGGAGACTTATCCTGGTTCGGTTGTTAAATTGAAGAAGACAGCAGATGAATGTTTCTTATACGCATTTGTTGCTCTTTGTACATCAATAATTGGTTGGCAACATTGTAGGCCAGTAGTAGTGGTTGATGGGGCATTCTTAAAGTCATCCTACAAGGGGATTATGCTGACAGCAAGCCCCATGGATGCAGTAAGTAAAAAGTGTAAAAATTTTGTAGTTATTTTGTAGGCAGTCTATAAAATGTAGATACACTGTAGTAATTTTGTAGTTATTTTGTAGCTATTACATGAAATGTAGATAAATTGTCTATATTATGAAGATATATTGTAGTTGTTATGTATTTATATTTTTATATACATTTTCAAAGCTGCCAATTAATATTTTATGAATTAATAATGTAGGTACAATATTGCCCTTGGCATATGCTGTGGTTGATTCTGAAAATGACGCATTTTGGAAGTGGTTCTTTGAGCAATTCAAGCAGGCATATGGTGAAAGACCTTCAATGTGTGTTGTTTCAGATAGGAATGAGAGTATACTGAAGGCAACATCAATTGTCTATCCGGTCATGACACACTACTCTTGCATGTGGCATATTTGGACAAATATAAGGTGAAAATTCCAGAAGGGTCATCTACAATTATATGAATTGTACTTTGCTACAACACGGTCATACACTCTGGATGAATTTAATGAAAGGATGTCGAAGATTGAAGAGGTAGACTCGCGTGTGAAATCTTACCTATATGATATTGGCTATCATAGATGGTCAAGAGTACATGCAATAGTGAATAGAACATGGACAATGACATCAAATATTGCAGAGTCGTTGAACGCTGCAACAAAAGATGCAAGAGAGCTGCCGATATTTGACCTTTTAGAGTATATGCGGACACTGCTAGAATGTTGGACCAACGAGAAGTTATTGAAGGCAAAGGGTACTTTCACATTTCTTGAGTCCAAATTCAACAAAGAATTAGAGAACAACAGAACATTATCTCAGAAACTTAGGGTAAGATTTGTTTATTTGGTGCAGAAAAAATAAATTACTTAATATGCAGTGTTTCCAGATTGTAGATAAATTGTAGTCAAATTGTAGGTTGTAGATAAGGTGTAGAATATTTGTAGATGATTTGTAGATAGGTTGTATATAATCTATTTTTATGATTGAGATAATATTTTTTCTGTTTGTTCTACAATTGTAGGGGAGGGCTTCAACATATCATATACATACTGTGTTAGATGGTGTGAAGTGGTACATTGTGTGTCTAGAAAATAAGAAATGTAGTTGTGGCCAATTCCAACTTGAAGAACTTCTATGTGCGCATGCTTTGGCAGCATTAAGGCACATGAATGAAACATATAAAAACTATTGCTCTCCGTATTACACAAGGGAGAGCCTTCTGCGTACGTATAAAATACCAGTAAATTCTCTTCCTGATGAAAGCAAATGGAATGTGCCATAACATATTTTGGATGAGGTAGTAAATCCACCGACGGGAGATAAAAGGCAGCCAGGGAGACCTCAAAAGGAAAGATATAAAACATATGATGAAATAAAGTCAAAGAAATACAAGGTGTCATGTGGAAATTGTGGAGGTGAAGGACATAACAAAAGATCTTGCAAGAATGCGCCCAAGAAGAAATGAATATCATGTAGTTAGAATAGTTATTCAAACTAACTGTTAGTGAGTTAAAGTTAGCAGATTTTTTGTGTATTCGTTTAAGTTTTTAAAGATCATTATGAAGTAGACTACAATTTGTTTATGTGTATTTAATATGCTTTTATGTATTGTGTCAGACATCTAAATTTGTCTTTGATATAGTGTAATTAAATTTTAATATTTATTATCTACAATACAACTGATATAAAAAAGTAACTTTAATGTAAAGTGTTTCCAGATTGTAGGTAAAATATAGGTTAAATGTAGTTAAATTGTAGTCTTTGTAATAATTTGTAGATAAATTATGGATAATATATTTCTAGGATTGGAGTATTTATTTCTTCTGTTTGTTGTGTAATTTAACTTCAACTGACAGTTATATACAGATATTACCTAGAACTTGAAGGTATTTCGTAAAAATTATGAACATATACAACTACAAAATTATATACAATAACTACATTGAGTGTTTCCAAAATGTAGATATTGTGAAGATTATTTGTAGGCAAATTGTATTCTAACATCAAAATACTCATGTTTAATATAATGAAGATACAGTGCTGTAAACAACCAATTTATATTCAAGTGAACAACTAATAATGAAAGATAAAATAACAAAACAAAAAGGTATGCTGCAATAAAAAAATAAAAATTTTGTTCATAAAGTAGTGTATTCTCCTTCAACTACAAATTGGCATCAACTAAACTAGGAAAACAGGACACTATTTCTTCTTTCTCTGGACTCTAGTCTTCTCATTCAAAGCAGGAGCACCCTTCCTCCTTGCTAGCCTGCCTGTAACCTCACTTTCACTGATTGACCCATCTTCTTGCTTCTTTTTAGCATAGTCCCATAGGAGAGCTCCATAGCGTCTACGGTGTTGGTCGATATCCGAAAGGTCTTCTGAAGGGATTGACATATCTCCAAGGCTAACATACTCCGCAAAAGCAGCCACAAATACACCACAATCGCTGTATAAGACAATTTTTTTTAATTATTTAACAAATAATTATAAAAAAAAAAATTAAACATATAGAAAGAGAGAATAGTTTTTTTTACAGTGATCCTTCCTTTTGCTGTGGAATCTTCGCAACCATCCACTGTATATTGAGAGGGTCTGTAATTGGTTACTCAATGTATGCCTTTGTGGTCTTGAAGTCAATGTCTTTACGCTTCCCGTAGAAACCAGTGCAAGACAAATAAAGAGGGATAATGATTGAAAGCTTATCAACACATGATTCAACAACATTATGATTGTGTGAAGACACCATGGAATTATACACATAAAGTTGCATGCCCGTTATGTCGAAAACGACCAACAACCAATGGAAATTCTCTACAATGTTCACGGGCATGATGACATAGTCAACTTCATCCCAGGAAACATTAGCAAGAAGTATATACCCAAGAATATATTCTACAACATCATCATCGGGTTTAACAACCGAATACTTTTTTTCTGGCGGAGAACTTATGAACTTCTCATAGATTTGTTCAATCTTTGACTTGAACAAGCAATCGGTTGTTGTAAACCTAGTGTTGTTGTTGGGGCCATATTTGCCTTTTTTTCTCAGGTAATATATAATAACATCAATATGCTGTAAAATAAAATAAAATATACTATAAGCTACAGTGTAACTACAATTATCAACAAAGCAGCTACACTTTAAACTACAAAGCCAGAATTCAAATAATCTAACAAATAGCTACACTTTAGCTGCTATACACAGCAACAAATGGAACACAACAACTACCATAAGGTCTCAATAATATCTACATTCAAACTACAGTTAATATTATAAGTCTTCAACTTGCTCTACAATTTAACTACAAATTAACTACAATCATGAAATACATATATACCAATTCTGTCCAAATTACCAAATATACAATTTTTACATACATTTCATCATCAAATATGATACATAAGGTTCAACCTAAATACAATCACACTATAAATAATAAGAGCAACATTTATAAGAAATGCCTACATTATATCTACAATTTATAATAAAAGGCATGGTCACATATATTTCATATCTACAATATAACTACAATTATACTACAAAACAGAAGACAAAATATATCTTGTGAATTTATTCTTTGATACTTACCGAGTCATTGAGGACTTGTCCGGGGTGAGCAAGGGAATAAAACCAGTGCTTCTTATCCACCTTTTCAACTCCAAGGTCTAACCAAGGCTTGATTTGGTTATCCTTTATGGAAAAGGGAGCCTTCCTCCTGTAACAACAAATAAATGTCCAATCAAAAAAAATCACAGAATGAATTACATATTTAAACTTTAAAATGCTGAAATGAAAGTGTCAAATTAAGCATTCATACCTCTTAGATACTTTGTCACTACGGTGGTATAACCACTTGTTGAATTTATCTAACACATCAGAATCTACATTTTCACCTATAAGAGTTGTGAAGGGGTACTTGAGGTAGAAAAATTTAGGTCCAATAGAGTTGCTGCCTCCAGAACTATATAGAGGTATGAAAGGTGATCATCCATGTTTCCCCGGTTGCCTGGTTCTCCCCGGATGAATAGGGGTTGCTTCATCTGGTATGGGCTCGCCATACTTAACCAATTGTGTTAAGTTGTCTGGCAACTCAAAGTCATCCAATGTCACACCCTTCTTATCAATGCCTGATCCTTCAGAAACAACTTCATCCACATGTTGTGCATCTTCACCTTCATTTAGCTGTTTCTCAATGACTTGTTCTATCTGAGCTGCTACTGTCACTCCGTGAATTGGGGACTGTGCATTGATATCTTCAATATCTGTTACATAAAACATAACTTACTTAACAATAATGTAAAATTGTATAAACAACAATTATTTATTCTGAATGACAGTATGATATTATACCTGCTTGTTCTACCTTAGCTGCTTCTTGAAATTCTGAATATAAGTCAACATGTGCTAGAACATGTTCTGGACAAACTGCAGCTTCAATTTATAATTAAAAAAGGTAAATAATACTAGATAATGCTGCCTTGAAAGTTGTAGATATATGTAGGAAGTTGTAGATAAAATGTGAATAATAAAACTATGCTCTATAAAGTTTTATACTAAGTATATATATTTGTAGGTATTTTGTAGATACCTGTGTTGCTTGTGCTTGCATGCACTTGCTCACCAATATTGAACTGAAATTGCTGGTTGTTCACTCCTTGTTGTTGGTCATTGTTTTTGGTTGAACTACCAGCAAACCAAAGATTTTATGTTAGTTTGAGTATATTGTTTCATATGTCATAATTTGTTTTGGTATATAAATATATGTCAATTCTTACCTTTGCCTCATCCACATTATATCTCATGTTTATCAAATTCAAACACTCTTCATAGAATCATCTATAAACACTCGAAGGTCATGGAGTTCCTCAAATACAACCTTCCTAAAATCCTCTAACTTTCCATCAACCTAAAAGTTAAAAATATAGTTAGTTGGTAATTTTATTCAAATAATTACAAATCAGTTTAATTATGTATGAGGCAGTATTGTTTTCACAATTGTCTACAAATTGCTACAGTTATACTATAATTTAACTACAATGTGTGCAATCCCAAACAGGGCTGACTATAGAATTATACTACAATTTAACTACAATGTATACTACATAAATTGTTATGAAATGTAGATAAATTGTAGCAAATATGTAAATATATTGTAGTTAATAATATTACCTGCTCAATTCCCTTTTCTAGCTTCCTGAGCTTCTTAGCCTCCTTGTCCTCTTGACAATCTGTATGTTTGGGTTCCAATGTTGGAGAATCAGCATTTGGAACCTCTGATGATTGTGCACCTTGTTCATCTTCATACTCAATCTTGTTTGGCAGAGTAAGCACTCCAATCTCTTCTCTAGATTCAGTCACACTTGTGAACTGAATGATGAAAAAAAAATAGTTAGTTCCACTAAGGCAGAAAATGTAGACTAATTGTAGATATTATGAAGGTAAATGTAGCAACATATAAAACTAAAAAAAATACCTTAATCCACTCAGGCTTGATCATCTTCTCTTCAAAGGCAGTTAACCAAATCTGCCCCTCAGTAGCTGACCATTTTAATATGCGAGGTATTGAATCAGAACACCTCGTAGCAAGCTCCGTGCTGACGGTCGAGCAACACTCATAAAGTCACACTTGCAAGGCTAATGAGCATCCCCGTATGAGATAAGAATGTACACGAGGATTTAGACGATGCCTAACAGATTTCATAACCTGATTGAATGATTTAATACCCTATGGGTATGACTCAAACTGACCAGACTCTACCAAATAGAACCTAAAGTGGTCTATAAAAGACACATGGTCTTTGTCATAAGGGCAAACAAAAAATTTCAAAAGATAAAGAATGCACAACTTGACTGCATCCTCATCGTTTACCCAAGATCTATTTGTTACTATGTTTTTCAAATACTACTTCTCTACTCTTTTTTTGTTAGGAAAATAGCTATTCATTAACTTGCTAACATAACTAGAAGTATATCCATAATCTGTAAACTGATTCACACAATTTAAACCGGTAATTAAACCAAACTCTCTCAATGAAAAATTCAATTTTTCCCCTTCAAGTGGACTGAAAAAAATGATTCATTAGACTTAGACAGTTCATACTTCATCAGAAGATGAATAACTTAGTTTTGCATGCAAATGGAGGGAGATACAGTAAGTAACCAAAACAAGTGTTTTTAAAAAGTTTTAAAGTATTTGGAGACAATAACTCTTTTATCTGGCTAGGAATGTTAGGATCACACAAAGTATGGAATCTAAGCACCCCATAATCCACATTATG